CCGTTCAAGGTGAAATTCAGGCTCGGGCGGGCGGCCCCAAAATCTCGGGCGGGTCGGGTTCGGGCTCGGGCAAATCCTCGGGCTTTTCGGGCGGTCGCGGGCGGCCCGTCCAAAGTTCCAGCACTAGATTGATGTACTTTCCGCGACCCTCAAAATTTTTGACATCTTTAAGAGAGGAGAGAGAAATATTAATTATGTCTCCCAAAATATTTCAAAATATCAGGCGCGTTTGGAACTCGTTCCAAAACAATTTTATTTTCTGTATGAAAATAAAAATGAAAACGTTTTCATTTGCAAGCAGAAATTATTTCTGAAAATGCCTTTAGTAGTTTTTTTTTTCAAAAATTATTTTCAGTTTAAAAAAATTGAAACTGCGTTTGGTTGTGTCAGCAAATCAACAAATCAGGACAAAGATCAGCAAAAAAAAAAAAACACCCAGATCATCAACAAATATCGGCAATGCTCGAAACAATCTTCACCAAATCAACCAGTGCTAATTTCCAAACCAACCGCTTTATGGATGGAAAAGAGACTCATTCCAGCCATATCCTCATCCAACCCAGATAAAGTTAGTAAAAAAAAATCACAGAAAAACTAAGAGGATGTTTGGTACCTAGATTCATTTCCTGATTCGAATCATGGTTCGTGGTTCGCTACAGTATTTTCTCTCACAAAAAATACACGTAAATCAAAAATAGTTCTAATCACATGGTTCTAATCCATGAACCAAACGTCTCCTAAACTAAAATTCTCAAACAAAAAGAAAGGAAATCTGTCAATACCTCCCAGCCCTATACATGTAGACCCCACGGCCGCCCTTCCCACTAGCACTGCCATGCTAAGCCGCCCCGCTCTTGAAATACAACCGCGCCGCCTCCAACCCGCACCGCATCACTGCCGCAGCGTCGCTCCCCAGCTCAATCACCGCGGCGTTGTGCTTCATCAACGAGCCCGATAGCGCGTCCACTGCCCTCGGATAGAGCCCGGAGGGGGCCCCGTAGAACGAGGAGATATCGGAGAGGTGAACCCTCGGCAGTGGCGATGGCACGGGCTCCCCATTCGGGTGGGCCACCGCGATGGGCGGCGGCAGCGGCCTGACGACATGGTCGGCCGAGTGAGTTGCGGCGGAGGAGGAGGAGAGAGGAGCGAGAGAGAGAGAGGGGTTGGGAGCTGGGTTTGGGTGGGGATCGCCGTAGGGGATCTAACGGCGGTGGTTGCGGCGGAAGGGGGATTGATAGAGAACGGCTGGAGAAAATGAAAAGGGAAAAAATGAAAAGGAAAAAAATGAAAACGGATTTAATTCGTTTTCAGAAAAGCATGAGTTTTTGAGAAGAACACAAAAACGTTTTTGTTTTTTATTTTGGTACTATACTTCCCCAAACACGGTTTTTATGTTTGGCGGAAAACGTGAAAAATGTTTCTAAAACCGAAAACAAACGCGCTCATAGCTTTTCTTCTGTACTTCTCATTCTTTATTTCTCATTCATCCCCCAATGCACCCCATCCTCACTGTTCCTTTTCTTATTGTTGCCTTATGCCTGCCGATACCTGATCTCTTTGCAGAGAATGGGGTCACAGTAAGGACTCAGATCTCCGCACGGGCAAGAGAGAAGATCTTTACCGCACAATCTAATGTGATCAAGCGACACGAGGACAACCGATATATATATTTTTTTAGATTTGTAGATTTTTTTTTTCTATATTGTTGTTATACATTTGGATAAGAATACGATTTGATCATTCTTAAAAATATTTTGGTGATAAAGAGGGGTAATATCTTTAGTATATAGGTGTGTTTTAACTCATCATAACAAACTAAAATGATCAAAATAGAAGCTAAAGATCAGCCTTAATTAGGACCGATAGTGGGAGTAATAATTTGATTGAAGATTGCATGGCTCGACATCTTATATCTTGCCAACGAGGGAACAAAGGGTATAGTCAAATATCAATAATAATAAAAATAACAGTACGGAGAAGATCTCCATCGCACAATCTCATGTCAGATGCCTCGACAGCCACAGATTTTATTTTTCTGGATTTTAGGTTTTTTATTTTTTATTTTATTTTATTTTTTTTCGTGGCGTTATACTATTATATTTGGATAGGAATATATTTGCAATAGAGTGAATCACAACATACTTACACACATTTATATATATGTTTGGAATGGATTTCTGTTAAATATTGTAAGAATACATTCTCCAAAAAAAACAAAAATAAATAAAGAATACATGTGTCTTTATTTAGTTCGGCCGTTAGAGATGGATCAAATAAAGGAATTGTTTCCTACGAAGACCATCACTGAAAAAAGCTGGATTAATAAAAATAAATAGGTTGCTAGTCGTGAGAGACCCCAAAAAAAAAAAATTCAGCACGTGCTTAATTAACTTTCTGCACTACGACGTACGATAATTTATACTTTCTCCTTTTTTTTGGACGATCAAATTTACCGAATCCTTTATTAACGGTCAGTTTCACGATGGTCATGACCATCACTGAAAAAAGCTGGATTAATAAAAATAAATAGGTTGCTAGTCGTGAGAGACCCCAAAAAAAAAAACATTCAGCACGTGCTTAATTAACTTTCTGCACTACGACGTACGATAATTTATACTTTCTCCTTTTTTTTGGACGATCAAATTTACCGAATCCTTTATTAACGGTCAGTTTCACGATGGTCATGATCCGATGCTAATTGGAAGACCCATCTGGTGAGCGACCTCGTTCTCGAAAAACTCAGACCAAATTGCTGCTGCTGTTTCGACTTGATTAAGGTTTCCGCAAATGCCTTGAGACGTTGCAACGCCACGTGGAGAGTTTCTTCCGACATATTGGCGAAGCACATTCTGAACCATCCCGGTTCAGAGCAGTGACAAGAAGACCCAGGAGAAACATTCAAACCGACCTCGTAAACAATTCTCTTCCAAAGCTCCATCTCGGCGTCAAAACTGTTGGAGCTCAAAAGATTCCTCATGTCGACCCAAACAAATAAGCAAGCATTGCTCTTCAAACACTTGATTCCGGCGCTTTTGAGGCCCGAAACGATAATTTCCTTTCTCTTCCTCAGCCTCTTCAGGTTCTCCTTCATGTACTTGGCCGTGAACTTCTTGTCGGCGAACAATTGAGAAAACATGTACTGAGTTTGCGACGAGACTAATCCGAAGCTCGACATCTTCGTCGCCGCCGACACGACCTGTTCGTCGTTGGAGTAAATCATGCCGACGCGGAAACCCGGCACTCCGAGATCCTTCGAGAGGCTGTACACTATGTGGACACGGGAGAACACATCGGAGCTTTCTAGGTTTCTGTCCTTTATGGCCTCGGCGATGCTGACGAAGCTCGGGGAGTCGAAAACGGTGCCTGAGTAGATCTCGTCACTCACTATGTGCGCTTCTTTTTCGATGGCGAAATCGATTAGGAGGTCGATCTCGTCAGGAGTCAAGGTTGTGCCTAGAGGGTTTGAAGGGTTTGTAACCAACACTCCTTTGACTTTCAGGCCTTGATCTTGCGCTTGTAAATAGGCTTCCTCTAGTGCACACGAAGTGATTCTGAAGCCGTTTGAGCTAGAGCACTTTATCGGAACAATTTCGACGCCGGTTCGCCACTTAAGATCTCTATCAAACCTGATCAATAAAACAAATTAAAAGAATTAATTTTTCCTTAATTCCTAATTTCCTCATCCAAATAATTATAATATATGTAGATAGGTGTAAATAAATACGTACCCTGGGTAGTATGGAATGGGAAGCAGGAAAGCATCGCCTGGGTCAGCAAGGCAAAACATGAGAGTTTCATTGGCCGAAGTTGCACCAGCAGTAAGGACAAGCTTATTTGCATCGAACTTCACTTTGTTTCCCCTTATTTTTGACATGAATTCTACAAGTTCCTGTACCAATAAAATTGAGCTCAATTAATTAGTTGGGTTTTTTTTAATTATAGTATATATTAGTTATGATAATATATATATATATATATATATATATTGTTTGAAAACTTACATTTTTGAAAGCAGACAAGCCGTGATAGTCTTGGAAGAGAGCGAGGTCTTTGAAAAGAGATTCTCCGCTAGTTCTCTTCAACCCAATGGCTTCCGGGTTTTCAGCAAGCCATGACTCGAGAAGGTCAAAGGAGAGCTGCAGAAAAATTATAAGAAGACACACGAGATAATGATCAGAGAGACCGCGTGGAAATGATACGGAAAATATTTTGTACAAGATATATACGCAATGTCTTGTGTTAAAAAATGGACAGCGACCAAACAACTTAGTTAGTTTGTCAATTGGCAGAGTGCCGAGAATTGTCTTGCTCATAAGAAAATGTGACTTTGATATATGTGGCTTAATTACTAACCTTATATATGGATATAATATAATCATCAAAAATGACAAATTAAAATGACCCAAAATAATTACTGAAAATATCATTTCATGATCATGATAAGTACTATAAATGTTAAATATGATCTTCTTAATTAAAACTTTCTTCACGGACATAATTAAATTTGAAAATTGTTCTATATAATATATATGTATATATCTTTACAAGCTTCATTTTCTCACCTGATTCTCCGCGAGTCCCATCTGAATGATTCCGCTTGGATTTTCAACTTCATGGTAAGAATTCTTCTCGTATGCCTCCCACCCTAAGAAGTATGAAGAATCTTGGCCATGAGAATCGCTGGTAATCTTTCTGGACAACATTTTCGTGATATATATGTCTATTATGCAATATACCGGCTGATCACTGGCTTTGGTTCTGAAATGAAAAAATTTAATTAGATCTTTTGCAGACGCGGCGAGAGAGATTCAGAGAGAATTAAGAACTAGCTAGAGAAGAGAAAGAGACTTTGAGAGGGTTTTTGGATTTGGGGAGAACAGACGTTGCTTATTTATATAGGAGGGAAACTCCGACACATTCTAGCCAAAAAAAAAAAAAAAAAAAAGAGAGAGAGAGGGAGAGAACTCCTACACATACTGATTGTGGATATTGACGGTGTGACTTTGGACTAGTTAGAAGAAAGACGTACTAGTAGTTGTTAGAGCTATGATATTCAAAAGCCCCCTTCTTTTCTTAATTATTATTATTCCAGTGATCTATTATATTATATGTAGTTTTATTATTCTTATTATTGTTTTTCATTTAAACTTTATAACGTAGTTTTAGGTTTTTTTTTTTTTTTTTTTTTTTTTTTTTTTTTTTTTTTTTTTTGTAATAATGAAGGTCCACCGTTTTTGTTTGTTTTGTGTCCGTCAAATTTTGATCTTGGCGTGTTAGAAGTTCCGCTAGCTACGAGTCTAGACAGTAATGTTAGTGGCCTTAGAGTTACACATTACATGCTCTCGATGGATAGAAAACTTCTATTGATTGTAGTGGTTTCAAAAATAGCCTTATGCGTGCTCAAATTGATGTGTCAATGAATTTTCTCGGTATCGGGTCTCGTCTTACATCATTTTCCTTGTACTTCATCAAAATTTACTGATGAAATTGATTTTTATCGAGTGTTTTGTATTGTGTACTACAAAATTATCTGTATTAGTATTGGTGTTTGTATAACATTTTACTTATGAAATTTTACCTTAAAAAAAAACTACCTTATAAGCAATATTACTTCTCACGTGTGTGTCGATATATGTGTATAAAACGTAGTTAACTATGATGCTTATGAACGGCCTAAAATGTAAATAACCTATGATTAAAAACTTAACTTTACACATTTATATGGCTCAGATTTCTTCCCCCCGCTAAATCCTGTTTGCAGTTTGCACCAACAGTACTATACATTTGACCTTTTGTCTCTCACGTATGTTTAGTATTTTTGACATGTGTCTCTTATCTTTAGTGTTTAGTTTGCTATATAAAATGGGAAAAACTGATAATAGCAACAATAATATTTTAAGGGGAAAAAATACCTGATCATGTATACGTAGATGAGTGAACTACGTACAAAAATTTATCACAGGTGATCACTTCCACGTGGCAGTACTACTGTGTCCTCATCTCCTACGTAGCAAAATTGCATGGCTGTCTACAGCTACAACATCTTATTTTAAAGCTCTAAAATAAGTTGACATTAGGGAGAGAATCACCGACATGCTGACACAATTGCTGCTGGTTTTTTAAAAGGAATATCGTGTACTAAGACAAAGCCTTTTAATTATCCAGTTTCATTATAAGCGTTCGACTTTCTCTTTAAGCACAAATAAATAAAATAATAATAATAGCAACAAAATTAATATTCGACTTTCTTAGATCTTTCCTCTGTCTTTGTTCTTGATTTTGGGAGTTTTTCTCATATGCTTCGTCTACTGGTAGTGTTAATTTTTAATCATTAGATCAGATTAAAATCACATCAAATTGAAAAAATATATACAACTAACAGTTTTTTATATAAATTTAATGGCTGAAAATGAAAAACTACCGATAGTTTATTTTTTCTGATCCTACCAGCATATATGGTTTGTTAATTTTTCCCCCCAAAAGAAAAATGTTAATTGTGGCATTAGAGAAATGAATTTTTTAAAATATTTTGGCTGGGCATATAAAACCTTTCATGTAATTTTTATCTTTTTTAACTAATTTTTTCCATATAAATATAGTCAATTTAACTGATTTCGTTATTATGATTTATTTAGATTATGAGGGATAAGTTTCGGTAATTTTTTGCCACTTGATAAACAAAATAAGATCGATGATTACAGATACGCCTTAAAGAATATAATTTCTTTAACCAGAAATTGCGTAAAATTCAAATACTATACGCTAGAAATTAGCTAAGAGTACATCTAACTAATAAAATGTTATGTTTACGTACTTATAATTAGAGAAGTATATGCATGTGAAAGAAAAAGCAATTATTTGGATATATAAAAAAAAATTTGAAATCAAAATCAATTATGTATCAATTCAGAACAAGTTATTACGTTACATGTGGGAGAAGTTAAATAATTTTCGTACTGAGAAAGACATTAAATAATTTTATTGTGAAATTTATCTTGATAAATACATCTTTAGCTTTAACTAGTGGGGGAAACTGTCAAAAGGATATTATGGTTGGAGAATCATTATGTTTATGTATCTATAAAAGATTTAAAAAGCATAATGAGTGTGAATTTTTGTCTCATCTAAATTTGACTGATTGGAAGACAAGAAAACTCTAACTGAGCTAATTTTCTTTTTAATTAAATATAAGAAGATAAACAATGATTTAGAGATTAACAGGACATATACATAACATGAAAGTGAACTCATCTAATTAAAGAAGAGATTAATATGTTTCAATCCTCATAAATGAAAACTTGTAATTAGTATTCCCGAAGAAGTTCAAAGACACTTTAGCAATCTCCAATATTATTATGAATCTTGTGTAGGAGTACTACATATCAAACGCACTTCTTTTGCCCCATTAATTAATATAGAAGCCCTTATACTTTTACCAAATACCAATTAGTTGAACAAAAGTGTCACATAAAATCAAATCCCGAATTGAAGACCTATTTTGGGAATTCGATCCTGACAATTCTTGGTTTTGTCCAAACACACGACAACTTTATTTATAATACACACACACACAGATATATATATATATATATATATATATCCCTTCTCTAAATATCCAGAGTTTCACGTGGTTCATGGTCGCCTTTTTTTAGACTGCTCATGGAATGTACAACATAAATCAATGTTGAGGTGTAAAAGAAAAAATATATTTGGGACATCATTACTGTTAAACACTATAATTAATCGAGATCAATGAGCACTATTTATAGATCTTACAGTGTGGGAGTCACGATCTATTAGTGTGTGATATATTAAACATTACTATTATTGTCTTTTTTCTTTGCTGAACAAAATAATGAATAATTGGTGTGTTTCCATCTTTTATAAATTTCTTCACTTCTAAAAAAACCCATCTATAGAACGAAAACAACTTGACCAAATATTTTGTTACTTAAAATATGAGTTTAGGTTTTTACTCATATTGCACCGCACAACTAGTGATTTTTAGCAATATTGTTGGTTAAAAGCTTTAATTGGTTGCGGTATTGAAAGTATGCCACATTTTCTGATTGGATGGATGACCATGTTTGGTCCGTGCCCCCTTGGATCTCCTTAATGGCCTAAATTCAGCAATGAAAACCCTTGGAAAGAGCAGGCTTGGACCCACGGCTATGCCTGTTCTGAAGGGTACAACGTCCCACTTAACCTCACAAAATGTCGGCCACATAGTACTACTGTTTCTTTCGTCTCATACTAGTATATATCCCCCCAAAACAATAGGGCAACATAACAATATCAGAAAAATATTTTTCATTATCGATGATTATAAGATTATACGGACTATGTATAAGATAAGTCTCACTATATAAATTAAGCGAGTGTATTATTTTAGATAAATCTTATAGTAGATCCCTAGCTAATAAAATCTTTCTCGGACTGTGAAGCTTGATTTTCATCTATTTAACTTCGTAATTAAGCTACAAACAACGGTATTTAATCAAAAATTACTGTTGATTGCTCGCGCCTTTCTTGTTTGGCACGTCATTATAAATTAATGTATTTTATTAATTACGTTTATACTGAGACATTTGGCACATCGTATTATATTGACATATGTTTGCAATTTGGAGTAATCAAATAAATATATATCTTAATACAATTATTTAAAAAAAACATTCTTTTAAAATAATTCTTACTATAATTTATATGCTTGCATTGCATGTAGTAGTGTGTTGACTGCTTTCGTAGGAATATTCTGCGTAATGAGCTTGTAGTATTTAATGCATCATTTGGTATGTAATTTAAAATTATTTCTTGCTGTATCTCACTCTACAACGCGGGAGATGACGCGAGGGAGATTCAGTACTATCAAGAAAACAACGGTTAGGATTATAAATTGACTTGTAATGAATTAGTACGTTAAATATTTTCCTAAAGATAGTACACCAGCTACTTGGCTTGATATATATATATATATAGAGAGAGAGAGAGAGAGAGAGAGAGAGAGAGAAAGATGCATATATTTTTGTGTCAAAAAACTAACCATACGATGTTCACGGAGCATTAAAATGAATTACCAATTTGATTAATTATAAAGCTTGAGCTTGGAGGGAATTAAAGATAGAAAGTTAGTAACTAACTATGAACAACTATATACTTTGATTAGCCAATGTATATATATATATATATATATATATATATATATTGAACGACTACATATTATTGTTATATGCATTATCCCTGATCTATTAACAGACAGAACAGTTATATTTGTCAGAAAACTATGTCATTTTATTAAAAAAAAAACTAGGAAATTTACATCCGAGCTTGAGATGCATTATTAATTATATATATGTACGTGCTTATAATACTAATTATTATCTTAAAATATCCTCAAATAGCCACGTCAAAGAATCAACCAAGAAGAAAAATAAAAGGACAAAAAAATTTGTAGATTAGCATGAATGCGCTACTTACTTTTTTAAGTTGTTAATGGACAGTACTCATTCGAGTTGACTCTTGACTGAGTAAGGCTTGCTTCAGTTGCTTCCTGGAAAACAGAGGTCTTGACTTCTTGTGTACTATATTTTTGTTTTTGTTTTTGTTTTGTTTTTGTCCTTTTTTTTTTTTTAGAATAAGGGATTGCGTGGCAAAAGGAGAATGGCCAAAGGCAGAAAATGCAATGCCACTTGTTTTCATATGC